GGTAGGAAGGAGAAGTTGAAGAAGGAAGGTGTGCGGTTTCAAGTAAATATTAATGGCAAAGTGTATTGGGGCAGATAGACATTGAAGGAGTGTAATAAAAGGGGCCTTGTTTCAGTTGGGTAATGGGTAATGGGTAGGTCTGCTCTTTTATTTTTATTTTTAATGCTCTTCTAGCCTGGCCACTGCCCTCCCCCTCCCCCTCTCCTCACCTTAAATTTCTTTGCCTCAACTCAACAACTTGTGCAATTTCAAAGAAAGAGCAACAATATATATATATTATGAAACCAATGCTGCAGCAGACAATGATGATCTTGATGCTGAAGGTCATCTCAGGGGGCCAACTCTCTGCTGTGCACTGTGCTTAATTATCCTTCACCCACCTTCCCTTCCTCACCATTAAACCATTAAACCATTAAGAGAGAGAGAGAGAGAGAGAGAGAGAGAGAGAGAGAGAAGGAAAGGAAAGATATAGGTCCCCTCTTGGAATTGCCATAAGTCTTTTTCTTTTGTTCTTTTGTGGTTTTGTATGTATGGGTGTTTGGTGCAAGTAAATATCAAGCAAACAAAGTCAGATTTGGTTGTGTTGTTTGTTTTACCAGTAATGGTCATGAGGAGCTGCTGCTGCTAGTTCTTTCTTCCTTTTTGTTTCTTGTTTGGCACTGAATGAGATAATAGATGATGATGATGGCTACTTCTACTATTAATATTGGTGGAAGGAAGAAGAGAGACCAGTACTTGTTTCTCATCATCTTCTTATGCACCTGCACCATCTTTTTCCAAAGGTTTTCACTTTCAGTGGAAGCTGCTTCGAATTCGGGGGGCCTCAAATACACAAGGCATAATTCTAAGCAAGTTAGCAGCTTGAGACTGCAAAGGATTGAGAAGCGCCTCAACAAGATCAACAAGCCTGCTGTCATCACCGTTCAGGTATGTGCATATACATATATAGTATAAATTCTTAATTAATTTCTCAATTAGTAATATTAAAAGATCTGAATTTATTTACCACTTCATATATATAGATATTTCTCATGTGGGGTTTCCTGTTTTGTTTTTTTTTCTTCTTCAATGTTTGCAGAGCCCAGATGGAGATATAATAGATTGCGTTCATAAAAGAAAACAGCCAGCTTTGGATCACCCTCTCTTAAAGAATCACAAGATCCAGGTACAAAAAGCTTAAAAAGTTGCCTCCTCTCTCTCTCTCTCTCCCCCCCAACAATTTATTAGATTTGTTGGCTTTATATATCATTTTTATATAACTTTTTTGTTGTAACTTGTATATATATACATACGTATATATGCAAATTAAATTTCCTCTTCATAACTCTCTCTCATCTTAAACAATTATATTAGTTATGTATTAATTTTGATATAATTAATATTTGAGTTATACGTGTACGTAACTTAACAGAAGGAGGCACCAGAAAGGCCAAAAGCGATGAAGATGAAGATGAAGCACACAAATGATAAAGATGAAGGGATTAACAATAATAATGGAGATGAAGCAGCAGCGGCAGTTGAGGGTAAGGGTAAGGAGGGTGCATGGGTTGTGCAGCAAATGTGGCACCGAAATGGGACGAGATGTCCCAGAGGAACGGTTCCAATACGGCGAAGCACAGTGGATGATGTCCTGCGAGCCAAATCTTTGTTTGACTATGGCAAGAAGAAACAGCATCAACCTCCTAATAATTTCAATTTTAATAATAATCTCACTGCTGATCTTGCTGCTAGGCGCACCGATGCACCCGATGTAGTCAGCGGCAATGGCCATGAGGTATGCTTAGCATTTTTCTTTCATTTATCTTTTGCTTTTCCCTCAGATAAAAACCTCCGTTCATTTCCTTGGAAACAAACATGTCTTCTTTTTTTTCTTTTTCTTTGCAAGTCGGATCAAATTAAAGAGGAACAAAATGTGTCTCTTGATTAGTCTTGGATATCCAATTTTGATTTTCTATTGTATAATCAAAATGAAGTGGAATATGTTAGATGTATAAATTGCAGAGCTACCGAGAACATTAAATGGATGATTTCTTGTATAAATTTAGTTGTTGAAATATTTAAATGTTTATGGACCATGACTTTGATAATATAAATTATTAACTTCTCGAAAAGCCAATCTCTAGATAATAATAGATTGTGTAAGATTTCAACAAATTCGGCCACATTTGCTGACAAACAGTTTGAATGAAATGAAATGTTGGATTTGTTTGGCTAAGATAGTACGTCCGCCTCTCTTTTACTCGAATTTGTTAAAAAAAAGAAAGAGAAAAACCCTTCCAAGACCAAGTAACGAAATGATGATTATTTGACTGCAAGTTGTATGAATTAAAATGATATATAGCATGCAATTGCGTACACCGGATCATTGCAAGAAGTGTATGGGGCAAGGGCGACAATCAATGTGTGGACCCCGTCGATCGAACAAGCAAACGAGTTCAGTCTCTCCCAGATTTGGGTTCTTTCCGGATCATTCGACGGCTCAGATCTCAATAGCATAGAAGCTGGATGGCAGGTACTTCTTCCATTTAATTTATTCTTTATTTATGCACTTAATTCTAAATTACTCCTCTTTCAAATTTATAAAAACTCTTATTTTCTTTAAATATGCCATGATGTAATTTACAATTTCCTTTTTTTTTTTTTTTTATAGATAAAATATGTACATTATTGTTAGTAGAATTTATGAAGCCTTGATTATTCCACTAGTCAGGTCAGTCCGGAGCTCTATGGTGACAACAGGCCCAGATTGTTCACTTACTGGACGGTCAGATCTCTCTCTTTTTCTCTCAATATTTATGCATTGACCCAATTATATTAACTGAAATTTAAATTGTCCTTGTACGTGTCTATATAATAGGCTTATTGATTAATTGCATACATTTTGCCCCGTGTGTGTTTTTGAAGAAAGACTTTTATGAAACAGAGATAGCACTATTTTGCTATATCCGACCAATAACGCTATAACACGTGTGATAATATTTTCACGTGACATAGTATTATTTTACAGCTG